ATGTTCTAAAGAAATTTTTGTTCAATAATTTAATACTGATTTTTATTTTAATTCAACTTCATCATAATAATAGATACATTTTCACCCATTTGCGCATGAAAAACAAGTGAAGAGATTATAAGAATATCAGTAACTTCCATCGAAAAATCATCCCATGAACTTTTCTATGAAATATTTGGTTATCAAATATATTACGCATTTTCATATCGTTATTTTGGCTTGGACGACAATGAATACTTCAAGCTGAAATTGCCAATGAAGATATTTTCATACAGTTTGTACACAATAGAATATTAAACATATATGAATCCTAGCCAATACTTAATATTTTCGGTGAAGGATTTATAATTCAATATTCGACCAGACTTACAAATAAGATTTCCAAAGTTTATCTTGAGAAGATGAAGAATATTCAATAAAATAAAACATGTAATCGATAACGTTTAATTGAAATGAAAATTACCAGAATGAATATTTTGCCAATAACCTAAAATCCTTACTGGAATTCTTTTTAACAATATTTATTAAAAAGGGTGTGGGTGTGGGTGTGGGTGGGTGTGGGTGGGTGTGGGTGTGGTGTGGGTGTGGAGTGTGGGTGTGGGTTCCGGTATGCGCGTGAGTGATTGTCTCATAACCACCATCACCACACACCCACACCCACGCCCACACCCGCAGCCACCCACACGCACACCCCACACACACACCTACACCCATACCCACGCCCACGCCCACCCACACCCACACCCACACCCACACCCACACCCACACCCACACCCACACCCACACCCACCCACACCCAATATGCTCTACACGATAAGCTATGTTAGAACCGATTCGGGGAATATTCGTTGAAACCTGTCACACATGCAGTTGGGCTACTCACACACATAGTGGTAACTCACGCTCGCTTATCATTGTGCTAGAAGTGAGCAAAAGCACAACTGAGAAACTTTGCAGATGCGACTCACACTTATTTATTTCGTACGCAGGACGTTTTTTGATCAATTGAGTGATGACTCCGCTTTGTGCCGTTGTTTTCTTCGCTCTCATTGCGACAGCAACCACTTTTGGTAAGTGAGATGTGTACTAATATCTTAAATAAGCTCCCTATGTCATGTTAAAAGACTGTTCAATATGCGAGCTCGGCGGTTATTTTATACCAACCAATGGCTATGATTGTCTTGAAACCATAAGTGGAACAGTTATTTGTACGTGTCCTGATCAACAGTTTCAAATGAATCAACGGTGTCGTAAGTTACTAGTCAAGGTTCTGGTTTCATACTATGTGTTCCAAAGCTCGCTTGTGTAAAATAATTTCATATAATACCACTTTTTGATTAAACCTAATTGGCTATCTTTTTTTCTTATGAAAGTTACCATCGTCAAATTTTTATTCGTAAAGAGAAATATCTCAGCTACTCTTGAAAACTACCCCTAGCCACTGAAATACGAAGTATCACTTTTATCCTATTGCAAAAACTACTCATCAGGGAAATACTCCAACTAGTTTCACGATATCAATCTCAACTTTTTCCCATTAATAAAGCTCGATGAGACTAAGAGAATTCCAGAGAGATTTATATGTTCTCATGACATAGTACTCAGTAGTAAGGGTTGCTACACTGAATATTCAGTACACAGCAAGATATTCTCGAGAGAACAGAATTGGAGACGTCAACTGAAGTTTTCAGTAAAAGAATATATTTCTTTCCAGTGATTTGAAAGAGGATGGATGGTGGTGACAATGTGATGTTGGAGACGGAATGACCATGTTGATAGGTGTAGATGGGTGAAGGTGAAGAGAAGACCCTCACCATCATCCAAAACCTTTCACCCACGTCTACTTCTACACCGATCCTTAACAACTCATAATCATTTAAGTTTAACTAAATAGTGGAGTTATGCGTCATTATTTTACACAAGCGACTTTTGTGACACACTGCATATTCTGCCTCAAAAGGACTCTGTGATCGCAAAAGCACATGCGGAGTATCCGAAGCTATTTGTATTGAACAAGCATTTCCTGGAAATTACACATTCGGCTGCTTTTGCCCCAATTCCATTGCATCGATCGGCCGGCCGTGCCCGGAAGAAACGAGTAAGTTGATATTGTGTTTCCGCTAAGAGCCGTTCTATTAAAATTCTTGATATTGCTTGGGAATATACAGGGTGTCCCAAAAATCTGTCATGAAAAATACTTGAATATCTTCGTGATTTCTTAACTAAAATTCAAGGTTGTTTTTGGATTGATGGAGGAGCGTTCCAAGTCTTGCTAAATTTCATTGAAAGTTTTGTATAAAATTAGTCGATGAGACAAAATAACAATACTTATAATGCATGTTTCTTCTAAACGTATTTCTCAAAGTGAATATAGACTCTTGAACTCGTAGCAATTGAACGGAATATTTGCAGGTAGATGGATGTGGATTGGGTCGGAGCGTGAGCAGACCTTTGTTCATCTACCCACACCACACCCACCCATACTCACCTGTCCACATAGGTCCACACCCACACACTCTTCAACCTTTACATATCCTCACATATCCAATTCATGTTGGTGGGAGAATGGTGAGGAAGAGCCGAAGAGGCTTTAAAAGATGTAGATAAATCATGACGAAAACAAAATGAAATGTAATTATTGGAGAAAAAGTTTCGTCTCTTCTCATGGACCATATCAGTTGATCTGAAATGAAGAGTTTGTAGGTATATCTAGCAATACATGAAGACACAGGGAACTTTTGAATGTGCATCAGGAATCGAAAAAAAATGAAAAATCGATCGTTCGATTTGATTCAATTCTGTAGAACGTGTAATATGTTGGAATATTCATAGGGTACATCAATTCTTCTGTGCTACCCTCTTCTTCATTCCGAATGTTCGTTGTTTTGTTGACTCATTCTTGTAAAAATTAAGTTCACTAGACAGCACGTTTTTCTCAAAACAACTTTGATTGACAGCTAGTGCATGAGAAAACGCATTTATAATTCTCTCTCTTCTATTTCTAATGAGTAAATATGCCAAAGTGAACACTGATCATCTAGATATGACGCAGTGATCGCTAGAGCTCAAAAGAACATTAATGATTGAATGGGATGAATATATCACTTATGAAAAGTAATGCAGCTGCGTATGTAAGTCGGTTTTCAAGGCTTGCAGCACCATGGGGTGAGCTGCCTCAGTAAGGTACTAATGAGAGCAGAATGCATGTTGGCGAGTCACCCTTGGTACAGATACGTATTCTGGAGACAATACCTGAATATGAGAAATTTCCGAGATTTATTTCGTAAGAGAAGAATATAAAAATTCAAACTGTCTAATGACGAGAGGATCGAGACAATTCGTAAGAATTTATCTCTATAATATTATTCTGTTTTTTCGAGGGTGTGGGTGTGGAGTGTGGGTGTGGAGTGTGGGTTTGGGTATGGGGTGTAGGTATGAGTGTGGGTACGGGTGGGACTGGGGTGTGGGTGTGGGTGTGAATATAAGACCCACACCCACACCCACACTCACACCCCACACCCACACCCCACACCCACACCCCACACCCACACCCACACCCACACCCCACACCCCACACCCACACCCACACCCACACCCACACCCACACCCACACCCCACACCCACACCCGCACCTACACCCACACCCACATCCACATCCACACCCACACCCACACCCACACCACCCACACTCACACCCACCCACACCCACACCCAAAGATGACGCCGTCACTATCCGCGTATTCATCTCGAAAATAGCAGATGATGCTTCTAGCATCTCAGATATTGTCTATAACATTCCAGATGCTCTTTCCAGTATCCGGATATATCTTTTTAGCTTTTCAGGTAATGCATCTTGGATCCCTGTTATGGCTTTCAGCATTCCACATGTTTCGTCTGGCACCCGAGATTTTGCTCTAGCATTCCACATGTCGCCTTAAGCATTCTTGTCTAGTTCTCTCCCTTCTCGCGAAGATCCTCATCTATACTCGCTAAAAACTTTTCTCGCTGATCTTGTCAAAACCTCATATTACTTCGCTAAAAATTTCTCTTGATCCATGCCATTGTTGTGCTGCTTCCAATACCACTCAAGTAAATCCGTAGTTGGAAACTTGTGACAAATGCCTCTGAAACCATGCGGAGAACTTTTTCCGGAAGTCTCAAGGTTTCCTATAGAGCTCTGTTAGTTCGTTATAGGATTTACTGAGATATAACCACGTAGAAGTCTAGAACACATTCGTGCTGAGATCCTTAGATTTTCTTATAAGACAAAAGATCTTAGATAAAACATACACAAATCGTTTGAAAACACGTTCATTTTTATTTTTAATGTCAAACGACAAATAGAAAACTTTTCATAGATGTTTGATAAGGACTCATCCGATGTGACTTTATCTCTGCGAGGAGAACCTTCTTTGTGGTTCAGATATTGTTAGAGGAGAGATAATTCTCCACTTTTGTAACGGATTGCCTTTTCGAAGAAGAATTTTTCTTTTGCGCAACCCTTTCTCTTACGAAGAGGATCTCTTTGACGACGATTCTATGTCTCGTTCGCTGTAGTAATTCCTAATATTCCCGTCAATGCCCAATGGGCACAGAATGGTATCACTGTGGCTGGAGGAAATCGACAAGGCGATGGAATCAATCAACTCTCAAGCCCATGTGGTTTGTATGTTGATGATCATCAAACAGTCTATGTCGCTGATTATGACAATAATCGTATTGTGGGATGGAAATGGGGTGCGACGAGTGGCCAAGTGGTTGCCGGTGGAAATGGACCAGGAAGTGGGGCTCATCAGTTGTCTTACCCAAGAGATGTGATTGCCGACAAAGAGAGAGATAGTCTCATCATTTCCGATACTTCGAATAGAAGAGTGGTTCGATGGCCTCGTCGAAATGGGACAAGTGGAGAAACGATCATCTCGAACATCGATTGTTGGGGTTTGACAATGGACGAGAATGGATCTCTCTATGTCACTGACTGGGTAAAAGATGAAGTGAGGCGATATCGAAGAGGAGAATGTCAAGGAACAGTGGTTGCAGGTGGCAATGGGCGTGGAAATGGTCTCGATCAACTCTTTTACCCACACTACGTATTCGTCGATCGAGATCATTCAGTGTACGTGTCTGATTGGGGAAATGATCGTGTGATGAAATGGGTGAAAGGTGCAAAGCAAGGCATTGTCGTGGCTGGTGGTCAAGGAGGAGGAAATGGTCTTACACAATTGTCATATCCTAAAGGAGTCGTTGTCGATCAATTGGGCACTGTCTATGTGGCTGATTGGGGAAATGCTCGAATCATGCGTTGGCCCAAAGGAACCACACAGGGAAGTGTCATTGTTGGTGGAAACGGTGAAGGAGAACAATCGGACCAACTCAAGTGGCCTTTCACTCTGTCATTCGATCGACACGGCAATCTCTATGTCGGCGATAACGGAAATCATCGAGTACAAAAATTCGAGCTGGAATCTAATAAATGCACAAGGACTACAAAACGGACAAAAAACTAATTTTTTTTCATTTAAAGCGTTCATGTAATCATGCAATCATCGACACGTCGTCGGAATCCCTGAATTTGATTAAAAATTTCTAATAAAACAGCTTAATTTTTTTGTTTTTATAAGCATAAAAGTGAATCAAACCGGGGAGCCCGGTACACCGGGTGTGGGTGGGGTGTGGGTGTGGGTAGGTGTGGGTGGGTGGGGTGGGTGTGGGTGTGGGTGGGTGTGGGTGTGGGTGTGGGTGGGTGTGGGTGTGGGTTGTGGGTGTGGGTGTGCGGGTGTGGGTGGGTGTGAGTGTGAGTATCATTTCTCTCTTTATTCGCACCGACACCCACACCCACACCCACTTTAGACATCAGTCCGATATATTTTCAATGATCATGTGTTCTATATAAACTAAAGAATTAACATTTGTTGCATCTTGTGGAGGTAAGATGGATTAGTTAATTTTAGATGGTCATACCGTCATGTGATAATGTATACAATATCTAGAGATAAGCCATCTAGGCTCATTTTCTTTCATTTTAAATTCACTCAAATATCTGATTAAATGTGTTGCCATAGACATGTGAATGAAGAGAACTACTGAGAGAGAGAAAGAATTTTCTAAGTCACATGACTGGAACAAAAAAAACTGCTTTTGTATATCCTTAGTTCTGATACATGCATATAAAAGGATTTTCGTACTATTGACGAATCAAAAACATTCATGCAAATTTTACATGTATTCGAAGAATTATACTGATCATTAAAAAGTTGCTTGTTTTTCAAAAAAAAATCAGGACTAGATCGGAATCGGAACCGGAAAATAGTGATTTTGCAGATCCCTACTTTTGTCGAAATTTTTATAATTCAAATTCAAACATACAGTACATGTTAAGGAAGTGAACGTATGATTTCTTCGATATATCGAGGAATGAGATTATTGTACTTGAGATATTCTATCAGTTTTAACATCATTGAAAAATTCTTCTGTACTGTGTGTAGAATTAAGAAGGCATTGCACAACATATAGATGATTATTTACGTGCACAAAAGCAATATGAATTCAGCATGTCTATTGCTTTTTATTTGATTTAATTTATGTATCACACCTGAGAAACCAGATAGATGCGCTTAATACTCCAACAGAACAACAAAAATGAATTCGTTTCAATACATTTTAAAAACAAATTTCCATAGGAACAAGCAGATCATCCAAACACATGGAACGCGATAAAGCATCGTTCAGACGGCATCCGTTTACACAAAGTATTCCATCTTATACAACAAGAATTCAAGCAAGTGTTATAAATATTATACACCATCGTCGAAATGTATCACGTCAAAATATTGTGAGTTTTTTCTAATTAAATTCAATTTTTTCAAAGTTTTGTTTGATCTGTAGTCTCATTACGTATCAAAAAAGAAAAGAATAGAACGAAATAAAGTTATTCATGTTAGTATTCGATCAACTCATCAATCTAATTCTATCAAATCAAGCAACAACTTAAACTCTGTTTGCTTTCTCTAATTTTTCTTGAATTTAGGTCTATTTTCACTTCTTCGAAAAGATTTTCATTAATACCTTCACTGATTCTCTCGGATGTGGGTCAAAAAAATAGTCTGCAGAAGAATTGATGCGTTCCACACGTTCAAAAAAATTTGATCAAAGTGAATTAAGAATTGATAATTTAATAAAAATAGTAAAACATCCTTTAAGATCATCGAAAGCTGCTCATCATGAAGTAAAATACTAGTCAATCTAGTTCAATAACAAAAGTATTTCAACTTATTTCAGGATACTATTAGTAATAATCAGAATAATACAAAAGTAAATTTTGTTATTTTTCTCTATTTTATCTATTTAATATTGTAGAGAATAAATGAATGGTTATAGATCAAACAGGTTCGATAGAAGACCATCATCGAAAGAAAAAGAACAAGTAACTATTTCTTTTAATATTACTAGTGATCATAAAAGATGTATTTTAGTAGTTATGTCTGTCGACGTTCCCGTCTATATTTATTTTTATGTGCATTGGCTTCTCTTATAGTTGGCACAGTTTTGACCATAACCTTGGCCTTAGTTTTGACTAAGTCAATCACAACAAGTAAGACATTTATATTTTACATATGTTTATCACAATAGTATTTCAGTAATAACGACTGTAACAACAAGCACTATGACGACTGTTACAGATACCACTACTACCACAACAAGTAGAGACTTTTACTGCGAATATATATTAAAGAAAAGATCTGTCTTTGTAGCTGAACCTTTCATTTATGGGCCTCAATTAAATTTTAATCTGACGACTTTGTCTTCAGCTTGATCGCTTTGTTATTCAGCTCTCTATTCAGCACCATTATCTGTGAATATGAGTGCTATTTTATCGACGTGTTATAAAGACAAACTCTTCCTGGGTTGTCGTCCCGTTAGTAATACCTTGTTGACCTTAGCTGGAATGGGCAATCGAGTCGACGTACTTACGATTGTTCTGCGGGTCCCACTATTACACATCAAGCGAATGGAATTGGTTGGTATTTTGCAAGGAATACTACTAGCTGGAATTCATGGGGTTTTGTCTTGGGATCTAATAGCGTAGTGCGTGGTAATTGTGATGGTGATATGAGTAATAATCCTGCATATCGTCTTTGTTGGCATACAGGTGGTACAGCAGGTGGATATCAATGTGGAAGTATGGGCAATCTTGATAATTCAAATAGTTGGGAAAAATTAATTTATCATGCAATGTAATTCATATTATCTTGAACAAATAATTTTCTTTTCTTTTTTGTTTTTTTACCGTGATTATTATTGTGTGATCTCTTTTTCTCCAGCATTCCCAGAAAACATATAATCCGAGAGCAATACTTTGTAAAATTTGCAAGATAAACTTCTCATACTCATTTCACAAATGTGCACAGCTAGTTTTGTCCATTTTACATGAGTTAAATCAGCAATTGGCAGTGAAGCACCAATACTATATGCTAAAACACACAGATTAAAGCCATTTTAAAAATAGTAAACTGCAAAGGACACCGCCGGTTTTTGAAAAAGTCGCCCAAATTCAATGAAATTTGGACTGCTAGTAGAAGTATGCGAGATACATTCATCATAAGATTTTCAGCTTGATATGTCTTATTGAAGATAAGTTATAGTGAAAATGCGTGTGATGAAATTAATGCACAAAATAGGAAAAATTTTGTTTAGTATAATTCTCAAAAGACCACTTGTGTTTTAGATTTTATAGTATGAAAAAAAATTCTGTCATGTGCAGTTGGATAGAGCGTCGAATGCTCTACATTTTTTATTCCTGTTTGGATATGTTCTAATATCCGTTGAAGTATCTTAGAAATACAAGTAATGTAAAGACCTCTATCTTTCTTAGCGAAATTTTGACTTTTTCACAAATAGTAAATTTCAGTAATGTGATCATATCTCCACAAGAGAACGTTTAAAAGAAACGGTTTTGTTTGAATGGAGATACATCTATCTTAAGATCAAAAGAGTACTGATAATTATTCATGTTTTTTTTTGGAAAAAGAAAAAAAAATATTCTTTGACATTGATATTTGTCGAATTGAGGCTAGCTTTGTAGTCTGTGTTACCATCAATAGACAGACCAATATATTCAACTACTATAACAAGAAATTCGAATTCAAAAATCTTATAAAATACTTTATTCTTCGTTTATCTTAAGAATGACTATACATTCAATAGTCATTCCAGTCGATTACAACCTAATTATAGAGTGAATGTGGGTGTGGGTACGGGTGTTGTTACGGACTGCGAGAACACCCACACTCACATCCTAGAGTTCTAGTTCAGTTCGATTTCGAGTTGTGTTATTTTCATCTTCAAGACGTTTTCGTATCTTAAAAATACATAAGTCACTTTTGTTTTGCTATTTTATTGAATAATAACATGACCATTAAAACTAATTTATCGAATATTTATGATAAGATACCAGGATGATGTCCAGGCATAACTCTGATATTCAATTGGAGACTGAGATTGGTCAGTTGCTGTTTAAGAGCTTTTCGAAATACTTGATTTGTTAAACTGTTGACATAAAATGTCTTGGCATAGTTCAGAAACCAGAACCATCGTCCAATATACACGAATATCGTATAGACAAGAAGAAGCAACTGGTTGGTTGAAACGGTATTATAATAGAAACCATAAAGATAGATTGTCATATAAGGTATGTTCAAAAAGATTGTTGGAATTGATTGTACTAAAACCATGGTTATCAAATACAAATTGTGTCAATTTATATGTGGATTCTGTACTGCTGCTATCGTTCTGCTACTGTTTGCATTCGGCACTGGAGCAGTTCGCCTACGACTTAGTTGTACATTTCGATAAATCAAGAAACCAAAAATTGAAAGAAGTAGAGGAATAATGGCACCATTATACAGAGAAAAGAAATAGCCGTCCACAGTCAAAAAAAACACAAATGCATTCGATGGAGTATTACATCGATTTGGTGTTGTTGGTGGATATGATATAATATTGTATGATATAATAATATGTAATGAGAAAAGAATCCATATCAATATTATCAATGGTATTACTATACGACTCACTTTTAGTTGACTGACTTTGCGAAGTTGCTGACTATATGAACTCGTACAGAAACGATCAATAGAAGCAAGAGTAATAAAAGTAGATGACAGACAAGGTAGAAGAAACAAAAGACATATCCTTAGTTTACACCAGACTGTAGTTGAATTCGTGTAGGAAAAGACTGATGGATTTAAATATCTCATGGCATCGATCATAAGAACTCCATTCATAAGATTGAAATCAGTGATTGAAGCCGAGAGAAAATAGAGCGACCATGAATTTTTCCGAAATTTTCTATGAAGAAGTGTACAAATATTGAGTAATGAGCCAAGAATTCCAACACTATATAGTACAACTGTTAGGATCCTTGCACCTTTTATTTAATATAAGTAAAATATAGATAGGCAAGTACCTAAGCGTATCACCAATTCCCTCTACGTTTACAACAAAACATACACAATAACAACAATAATAACCATGACTGTTAGTAAACAAAACATATATATATATATCTTAGAGAAGGAGGAACGAGAACAAAGTGAAGGATCGTCCATCTATATCATAGATGGCGATCCTGACAGCGTCCTCTGTTCATTCAGATCTACCCACACTCCCACACCCACATCCACACCCATAGCCTTATTTGAAACGGTTGGGATAAGTATTCTTGAACTAATTATAAGTGTGGCTATGCAGGTATTGGTAAGGTGTGGAACAGGGACGTACCGAGACCGAGGCTGAATCGAGACTCTCGGTCTCGTTCATTCTCGACTGAGACTAATCAAGACCGAGAGACTCGGTCTCGGTACTTCCCTAGCGTGAGGATGCGGGTACGTGTCGGTGGACGTTAGTGTGAAAAGTGAGAGTGAGTGGTAGAAAGAAGAACATCCACACCTACAACCCTGCTTACCAGTGTCTTATTCAAGGGGTGTCTAAACGGGTGGGTGTGACTGTGGGTATGTATAGCTACCACCATACCAATGAGTATTTCGATGTTGCAGAATACCATCTTATCAAGTGGAAGAAGTATTGACTTGAGAGATTCCAGTAGAACTTGAATCAAAGCATGACACATATGATGTCGGTGTGTGATGAGTGTGGGCTCTCATTTTCAAGTATTCACCCACATTTACACCGACACCACCCAGACCCACACCCTCAAATATTCATAGAAGAATAGAGAATAAAATAATAGAAATTTCAAAGATAAGGCTGTTGCATTGTAGACTCTTTATATATAATTCTCATTTCAAAACATCACTGCACATTACAATAACAAACATTTATTTTGTAGAAGTGAATGATTATGCACATAATGATAAACACATATACAAAATCCAAGAAAAAACATGGATGAGAACAGAGAAGAACATTGTTATTGTGAAAATTGAATTCAAATTTCACATGATAATCATTAATACAAATATAAATAATTATTTTTTTTCTACTTAATTGAAACAATTTCAATAGAGTTTCTTTGTGTTCTGGCAGGTTGCACATCAAGTATTGCTGTTATAGTTGGTGCAATTTGATTATTATTGTTTCGTTCGTTTACCCATTGTCGGCATTGTGTCATAAAAACCTTGTCAAGTACATAGACGAATTGTTTTCGAAATCGTTGGGAAACACAACAATAGATATAGAAAGAACCCTATTATTCAAAAAGACAACAAACTTGATTTTCTGCTTTTTTTAAATAAAATACTCACAGTATAACTTGAATAATCAATTAAAACTGTAATTGAGAAGATGAGATTATTACGTGCTACTTGTTCAGGATCTTTACTAATTTGATTCAATAAATATGTAAAGTAAATCACATGAGGTAATGTTGTTATTACAACGAATAGAACATGAACAAGTGTCATTGCTGTTAATTGTCTATCTCGACTTAAACGCACAATATTCACTTGTCGACTGACTAATGTACGAGCACTATAAAAGGCCAGTAAAGAAAATGTAATCATTGTACTTAAAGGCAAAAATCCAAAAAGAATTGGATACTGAAAACGAGTTACATATATTGCAAAATTCGAATTAATAACTGTACATGTGCCAAAAGTTGTATCCCAGTAAATGAGAAAACAAATGCAATATATACTCCAAAAAATACAAGTCAGTAGAATATTACGTTGAGCTGACCGTAGGTTACTAAAATGTCGATATTTACTCATAGATACGTATTGATCAATAGTTGTCAAACACAATTCTGTAAATGAAACTGCGTTACACCATCCTGCCATAGTTATTTGAACTTTGCAAACCCATGATATGCTTCTGATATCCGTGTTAAAACCTTCACTAAGAACACGTACAAATAATGCAGTTAATAATTGACCAATATTGACTATTGAAACAATGGCCAAATAAAATGCACATGTTGTTTCCCGAAATGTTTTCAGTGTTGTAAAAATAATAAAATTGAATATTCCACCAATAACTCCAAGGATTAAGATAGACAAACCACAATAAATATGCAATTGTCTTGAAATAAAATTCAATGTATCTTTAGTTGACATCGAGATATCTATGATTTGAATACTACTAACCAACGTCAAATTTCTTTGTTAAATAAAATTGCTTGTCTAAAGAATTTATCTCATCTATTTTAAACACGCCTTAATGCAATTATTACAAATAAACAAAATAAAAAGTTATTCCCGTTGAATGCACTTGACTTTTATGAGTCTACAAGCTTCATTGCTTTCTTTTTCATTCTGTTATTAATCAGTTCATGCATATCAGATCATTATACTAATGGGTGACTCATAATTAGAGAGGTGCGGGTCCTTCCAGACCCTACCGCGTTCGGGTCCGGGTCTATCCTTTAGTGTAAATTCAGACCCAGTCTGCATTAAGTTACGAATGGAAATATTCAATATATAACAATAACAAAGTAAGTCAACAAATATTGCAAAATAAACTACCAGAAATAATTTTACATTCATTCTATCTTTAAACTGGTCAATGAAGAGCTAAAAGTTTGTACTTTTATCTGTTCATGTACACAGAGGGTGCCAAATATTGGTGAAAAAAGGATCGGATATGGGTCTAGACTCGACCGGGTTCGAGTCGGGTCCAGGTCTAAAAATTTAGCTTTTCCTGGATCACAGTTCAAAAAAGCACGAACCCGCAGCTCTCTATACATAATAAATGGTAGAATTTTGTATTTCACATTTTAATCT